TGGGAGAAGGATTGATGGATTATGGCTGCAGTGCCTCCATGCGCTGTTCCATCAGGGTGGTCAGTTCGATAAATCTTGTATCCAGGTATGTTGAACTGTCGTTTGTTAGTTAGTCGGGTCTCAGTTATTAGAACTATGTCAATGTTATTGTTCTGTAGAAAAAAAGTTAGTTCGTTGATGTGGTTTCGAACACCATTCACATTCCAGAAGTGAATGGAAAGGGGTCTTGTTGAGGACATTTAAGGAATTCTTGGCGGTGGGATAAGATTGGCTATGACATTTGTAAGTAGGGAGATTAGCGGAGTGATGAGGGATTTCATCTTGGGAGAGGAATGATGTAAGGAGGCTGGTAAGGTCATTAGAATTGTTAGGGGGAAGAACATAGATTTGGTGATGACTGGACTTCTGGGTGTTATGTTGGGATGGTGGATAAAGAGGTTGTTATAAAGTTTTCAGCAGGGCCTGAGATTGAGTTGGCAGTTCTATTTCTCCCAGCATTTAAGCATAGGAGACTTGATTGTTCGCAAATCTTGTGGGTTGTCTTGGTGGTCTGGAAGTCCTGAATGTCTCTTCCCTTCCAGGAGCTGTCTGCAATCTGAATTTTAATAATTTATAGGTCTGGCATCCTTTGTAGTTTGCTGGGTGGTTTTTATGGAATAATGCGCACACCGCAGGAGTTTACCTGGACTTATTGTTTTCTTCTGACTTGTGTTGTTGCCCGCAATTCACACAGCGCAGTAAGCGTTTACAATAGCTTTTAGTGTGGCCTTAAGATTGGCAATTATGGCATTGGACTATTTCTCTTTTACTATATGGTTTTTCGACAATTATACTGGTATAGTATAGACGTCTTAATTTATAAATATTTTCCTGTCCTTGGTTTACGACGAAGGGTGAAGGTAATTTGATGGGATTTATTGGAATTTATTTTAATTCTCCAGTTCTGACACCATTCTTCAAGGTTTGTGATGTGGGATTGAAGAGTTTGGGATGCAATAGATGGGTCGTTATTAACTGATAGAATACATGTGTCATCAGCATATGTGGTGATGACAGTGTTGGGATGGGTTGAGATGTCAGCTGTATAAACTATGTAAAGGATAGGACCTAGGATACTACCTTGAGGAACACCTGCAGACTGGGAAAACGGGATGTATAGACATTGTTGTGATTTACTTTAAAGTATCTATCAGTAAGGTAGGAACGGATAATGAGGAAATAGGTAGATGGTAGGAATTTTCGGAGTTTGTACAGCAGTCCCGGGTGCCAAACTCTATCAAACGCCCGTTCAACATCGAGAAAGGCTCCCGTACAGTACATACCGCGCTCCAATGCCTACCTACATACTGTAGTTTCTCAACATGTGTTCCATGTCTTTATACTAATGTGCGAATTCACCAGATGTATTTTTTGTATACAGTTGTAAATATCATATAAATAAATAATAAAAAAAATAAAAAATTATTTGTATCCGGCTGTTCTTTATTTTCTATAAATACGTTAACAATTTGGTGAACACTGAAACCTATATAGGTCAATTCTTCTTTGATAGCATCAGGTGGAGTTGAAGGGTGGAGGCCTCTTATCACTAGGCGTAGTGCTCTCTCTTGGAATAACTGGTAAGTATGGAATTCCGCCTTTGTTTCAGTTAAGTATTTAACTATTTTTTTTTAATGTTTCAGAGGAATCTGGCATCAACTTGGTGTCATTGATTCGACTTTGACATATTTGCCATTGTCAAGTAGTTTATTTAGAGGCTGGCAAAATAGAGGGAAATGTTTTATATTTTTAATAAATATTGGAGGTGGTTTTGGCTCTCTAGGGGTTGGTGGTGTTTCCATGGTTTCTTCTAATGAAAGCAATTGATATGGGTTTGGAGTGAAAAATGGAGATTCAGTTTGTTTCAGTGATTATATTTTCTGTGATCATAATATCGGCTGAAGAAGTACCGGATTGTGGGTCATTTATGTTATCACTCGGGTAATAAGGTGTTGAAGGTGGTGTTTTTCAATTAGAATGCCTAGGCTGTTGTTTCACAGGTGAGCTGCGAGAGCTGTTATTGCCTAAACTTCGGGATCTTTTATTCTTACTTGACATTAGTAAGTGATAATATCGCATCTCATGTTGATAGAATAATAAATTTAAAAGTTTTTAGTTCGTAAATAATTACGTAGACTGTGTAGAGGCCACCTAGTAACGCTTGTGCTCCCTTTGAAGGCCATAGGGCCATTGAAGGGAGTAGGGGCAATGATAGATGGCTATGGCCTATAGGTAGAGACTTGATTGATTGAGAACCTATCGTTGATATCAACTATAGTTGTTTACACAGTTGTCTTAATGTTAATAAACAAGCGGTTACTCACTATGTTTATGTTGAATTGGATAGTGAATTGATAACTGCTCAACTGGCACTGTTTTTATTTCACTTAAGTTCACTAATTAACAAGTAATTAAGTCACTTTGTGGGAGACAATAAGAAGATTGGTAGTTAGAAACTAGCGCATGCTCAGAACTATTTTTTATGTTTAACTTATAAATTTGAAATTTGAACTTTTCTGATGCATTCTTTATATTAATATCATTATACCGAGTTAAAAATTTAGATAATGCTTCTGTTAAGGCCAGAAGTATATTTTTATTTTTAGTATATGTACCGCCGAAGTGGTTTTAATGGTGTGAATGTACTCTCAGAACTCTATTATAAATGTCCTTTATTGAGACAGATTGTAATATTTATCAATAAACAAATAATCCAAAAAAAAAATTATTTTTATATTAAAAAAAAAATATTAAGACAGCATATGATGGATAGAAATAGGACAGAAAAGAACAGCTAATTGAACATCAATTAGCTGTTCTTTTCTGTCCTGATAATGCCTGAATTGGCGAAACGTTGACGGGTTTTTCTTTGCCTGAATTTTGGAGACATAAGGCTGTGTGGTTTGGAATTTTTCCAATAATAACCTAACATTTATGTTCTGTCTCTTGGTTATTTTGTTACTAATTTATAACAATAAATCTTATTTAATAAAAAAATACTTAGATGAATTAATTTGTTAGAAAAATTCAATTAATATCATAAAATAATAGAATTTACATTAGTAAAAACAAAAAACAATAGATTGATATTGAAATAATTTTAACTAATAGTGTAATGACCACAAAATGGATGAAAAAAAAGATATTAGCAGCAATAGAATACTTAATTATCATTCTAACCGCCAAAAATACCAAAAAATAAATATAGCTAAAAATTTAATCAATAGAGCACTAAAAATTACAAACCCACAACACTTCCAATATGTTAAACTGGAAATATATAAAATTCTAATAAAAAAAGTTTACCTCTAAATATTGATTAATAGAAATTGGTCTAGTAGGGGTCAAGCAGAAATAGCAGTCATCTGTATGGTTTGTAGGCTACCGCCAAACCATAGGCACAGCGAAAGCCACAGATCGTTTCTTTGTTCTCGTACATTCTTGCAATGTAACAGAACATGCGTTGCAACATATATGTGGAGCCCAAGACTTATTGTGGTCCCCTACTTTCATACCGAAATAATGCTGATAGGCAGTCTTAACAAGAGGCGCCAGATTGCATTTCTGTGAAGAAAATGTTAATTCACCACAAATATAGAAAATATTATTCTCCATATTTACACATTAACAAAGTAATTTCAAACCAGAAATTCTGCATTAATTACAGCAGAAACTATATGAAACTCACAGTCACAGCAAAATTAACTATGTTTATGACTTACAAACAGCTGAAAAGCATTTATGTTATAGCAGGTGTACCAACACCCAAAAAAAAATTTCCCCAAATTGAAAATGTTGACTAAAATATGAAATGTGACTTTCTCCAAAGCAAGAGCTAATCTGTCATTTTTATGGTGATTTTTTAATTCAGCAGATGGAAAGACATATGGATTGACAATTTTTGAGCCCGAAACATTTGCATTGTTGCCCAGTGTAATCGTTACAGAAGTCGATGAGCCTTTGACCATTTCTAATTCAAGTTAAGTTTAAAATAAAAATAAAGAGTAAATTTTAAGGGTCAAAAAAGTATTGGCACAGTTTTAGATGAAATTATTAGCTCCAGTCAAAACAAATTATTCCTTTTTCTTTCGAGAAATTAGAAACGAGGATTGAATATAATACAACGACAACAATAAAAATCAATCTTTGCTGTATATTTGCCAGTCAATATTGAGTGAGTTTAAAAAAAAAAACATCATTAAATTACATTCTAATAGACTTAGCCACAGACAAATACCGAATAAATTAGAAAATGGTTGTAATAGTGTTCAGAATATTGCACAAAAGTTTGCATACCAAAATAATAATTAATTAATTAGCTGAATCTATGACATGACCAACTGAACCCAATTGAATAAAAGCTTACTAAATCTAAGAAATCTACATTCCTTCTCCTAAAATAAAAAAAATTAGAGGTAACAAGTTGACCCGTTGACAATACCATAAATTGTATACTTCTTGAGTTATGCGTAAATAAAGTTTCCTTTCATTTATAACATAATTCCTGACTTTTGGAAAATATGCTTATCTTTCACCCTCTGATTGAAAACATTATCTTCAAAATGATGGCTCACTCATTGAATTTGATGAAGGATTAACCAAAATGTGGCATACTGACAAAAATAGACAATCCGAAGTTTTTCAAAAGCAAAAATTCAAGCACAATACTGGATTGTCAAGAAATTCTAGGCTGCTGGACATTTTGTATTTATTTACAATGCTATTATTTATAAGAAAATTACAAATAGAGATACATCTAAAAAAATGTGGCATGATGTCAAGGAAATATTCTAAGATTTATATGTGCCAAAATATTTTGTGACAGACAAGATTTCACAGATAACCAACCAATCTTTTAGATCAAACTATGACAAACCTCAAGTTAAGAATCCAAACTTATCTTGCATATGGAAAAATATAGGTATAAGAATATAATAGTTTTCTAATTTAATTTGACTTACCGTTGTATTCATAATTCCTGTACCATGAGTCCATATTGAATTGGCAATTTGATGTATATTAACAGTATTTAAATGTTTGTTGGCACTTATATATTCAATGAAGCATTGAGTGTTTAAATTATATAGATATTTACCAACAAATACATGAATATTTCGCATAATTTCTAATACATCAAGACCCTAAAAAAAAATTTCATATATAGGTAAGTGAAAGTAAAAATAAATAAATAAAGATAAAAATAATATATTGTAAGAGAATTAGGAATATTAAAACTATTACAGTAAATTCGAAGAATAACTATATAATGCTAAGGCGGTCTTTATGTATATATATATATATATACAGGATGTTTCCGGGTGAAGTGGCCAAACTGAAAATATGAACTAAGGACCTCAAAACAAGGTAAAAATTTCCTCTGAAGGTATGTCCGCAAACATTTTGTTTAGGAGATATTCACACCTAAAGATTTTCATTGCTATGAATTATTTAGAAATAGAAAAATAGAAATAGAAAATAACTTTATTCTGGGACAAAGTCCCTTTAGAATAACAAAATAGAACATAATTAAAATACTACATCTGGCCAAAATAAAACAATAATAAAAAAGAGAAAGTAAAGAAAATATTAGTTAAACAAGCTATATACAAAAAAAAAAAAAATCGATATACAAAACACTTAAAACTATGATAAAACACTTAAGACTATGTACAGTAGGAAAAATTATAATTATACTCTTTTAAAAAATAAAATTACAAAAAATACATTGAGTTCTTCTTTAAAATGAGGTGTGTTTCTGCTAACAAAGAAAAAACAAAGCTGACAATATAAAATATCAGTGTCGTTAAATAATGATTAATATGTAGACTCATCATTGTCAAATGCTAGAGGTACAGATTTAATTATATACCAATAAAAAATAATAATAAAAATAAAAATAAAAAAAGCAAACAATAGATGCGGTCAGTGGCATTAAGCGCCGGAAAATATTGTAATATCCCTAGTGAAGTTCACAATATAGAATAGCACTATCGTTTGATGATGACTAGAAATGTATAATATCGAAAATTTAGCAAGTATCTGACTGTTTTTGGGATAGGAATTGGAATAGGAGGGATTTGAATGTGGATATGGAGGGGGAATGCCGAATTTTGATAGGAAGAGAATTCCAGAAACTGATAGCGCGAGCTATAAAGGAATTCTGAAATGAGGCAGATCTGTGCGAAGGGATGTAGAGGTCAGAAGGTTGAGATCTTGTTGAAAGGGAATGGACTGAGGACTTGAATTGGAGAAGGTTGTAGGCGTAAGAAGGACGATGGTTGTTAATGATTTGATAGAGGAACGTACCTAGGAAATATTGTCTTCTAGAGGAGGGGAAGAGCCACCCTAACTCAGTGTAGTGGTGAGAGACATGGGAGTACCTCGGGGCACCGATAACAAATCTTACGCAGATATTCATTAATCTTTTCAGTCTATCACGGAGCTACACCGAGAGGCCATCATACACCACACAGCTGTAGTCAAAGTGGGGGAAGATGAGGGAGGAAATTAGGAGTCTACGGGGATGTTGAGGTAGGAGATGGCGGAAGCGATGAAATAGTTTAAGGATAGAAATTGTCCTACAGGAAATGTGAGAAATATGGTAGTTCCAGGAGAGGGTTTGATCTATGAATAATCCTAAATTTTTAACAGAAGAGTAGAAGGAAATTGGCTGGTCATTAAGGTATAATATGGGAAAGTCAGTATGGGATCTAATAAGGGGCTTGGAACCAATGACAATGGCCTGAGTTTTGGCAGCATTTAACTTTAATCCATTTACATTTGCCCAGGCACTGATTCGATCAAGGTCTTCTTGAATCTTGGCAAATGCTACCAGTAACTCAGAGGGAGAAAAGGATAGGTAGATCTGGGAATCATCTGCATAAAGGTGGTGGGAACAATGGAGAATTGAATTATGAAGGTCGTTAATGTAGGAGCTGAAAAGGAGAGGAGATATGCTTGAACCCTGGGCAACTCCGGAGGATAAAGGAAGGTAGGCAGATAGTGGTTGATTGGGTATGGAGACTGCTTGGGTGCGTTGGGAGAGGAAAGATTTGAACCAAGAGATGGAACTATTGGAGAAAGATAATGATTTTAGTTTGTTGAAGAGGATGGAATGGTATCGGAGGCTTTGGAGAAGTCAAGAAGTATAAGGACAGTTAATTTTCTATCATCTATTGCAGATTGAATGTCACTGGTAATTTTAATTAAGGCAGATTGTGTGGAATAGCCGGGACGGAAATCAGATTGAGAGGATCAAATTGGTTGGACTTTTCGAGGAACTTGGAGACTTGGGATTGCACTAGTCTTTCAAGAGGCTTTGAGAGGTTAGAAAGAATTGAAATTGGACGGAAATCTTCGGGTGAGGATGGATTAGGCTTTTTATTTAAAGGAAGAAAAATGGCTTTTTTTCCAAGAGGTAGGGAATACTGAATTCTGAAGGGAGAAATTGTAGATAAAAAGGAGAGCTGAAAGGATTTCAGGGAGACATATTTTTATTAATTTGACAGGGATGCCGTCTGGCCCTATGGAATTGGTGTGGGATTTCATTACCGCGGTTAACAGGTCTGTGGGAGAAATGTCGGAAAAATAAAAGTTATTGTCGTTAAAGGATATTTCTGGAGAAAAGCCGGAAAAGGAAGGTAGAGAAGAGGTATTAGCGACAGCTATAAAATAAGAGTTTACATCATCGGAGGATACAGGAAAGGCTGCGGTAGGGGATCTGGAAGGATTACAAATGGAAAGGTTACGAAGCAGTAGCCATTTCGATTTGATATCAGGAGCTGAGGAAAGGGTTTCATGGAAGTAGGAAGCTTTCGCACGCCGGATCCTTGTCTGTGCCAAGTTGCGAAGCACCCTGAACGCTTGGCAGTCATCTGCGAGCCTAGTACGTCTAAAACGTCTTCTTGCAGCGTCTCGCCTCTTCTGCAGATCTTTGATTTCCTGACACATCCAAGGAGCAGGCCGGTGACGAAAGGTAGAGGTTTTGAGGGGAGCATGGGTATTAAGAAGATTGGTGGTAAGAATGTCAACCATGGAGTCGATAGAAGAGCAAGACTATATTCCATTCCAATCTAGGGTTTCTAGGTCAGGTAATATTTTTTCTTGAGTAAGGGTATCTAGGTGATGGAAGATGATAGTTCGAGGCTGGATTGAAGGAGTTCAGATGTTATATGTTATTTGTATAAGATCGTGAGATGATAGGAATGATACTGGCAATTGAGAAGAGGAGAGGAGATTTTGTGCAGAGTCTATAATGTAGAAGTCTAGCCAAGTGTCGGACCTGCTGGTGTGGTGGGTGGGGAAAAATGGAACGATGAAGAGGTGCAGAGAGAAAATTAGGTTTTCTAGATGGGATTTGTCATTGGAGTTAGAGAGGAAATTGGTATTGAGGTCACCGGAGATGATTATTCTGGGATATAGAGGAACGAAGTTGAATAGGGTTGATTCAAAGGACTGATCAAATGGAACATGGGGAGGACGATATCAGAGTGTAAGGAGAGGAAGATCCTTACAATGGATTTCTACTAGAAGGTATTCAACTTGTGGATGATCGGAGGGTGGTGAGGAATTGAGGATTCGAGTCTTCAGGCTATTATGGACAAACATGGCTACTCCTCTGCCATTATGGCTTACCCGGTCATGACAGAGGAGGGTGTGATTAGGCAAGGAAACAGAAGAGGATGGGATGTAAGGCTTAAGCCAAGTTTCGGAGATTGCGATAATGTGATAAAAGTTTTGAGTGAAATATTGCAGGAACTCGTCATAGTGGGCAGGGAGGGATTGAGAGTTAACATGACAGGTGATTAGAGTACTAGACATGAGAGGAATTGGGAGGGAAACAGTCAGAGTTGGATAGAGAGACTCTAAAACAAATAGAAAATACTAAAAGGCGTTTACAATTAATGAAAATAACAGAAAAGAAAGTGTAAGCAGAAACCACGTATATTTGATTTTCCCCGCAGCTCTCTTCTGTCGGGCAATCCAATATAAGTGTCTGTTTGTGGGAGTCATTTCCTCACTCAGATATATCCGGTGACAGTCATTCTCCTGCCAGTCGATATCCCGAGTAGTGAGGTCCCTCTTGACTTTCCTCTTCGTTATTAAGTCGTCTCTGACTGACTGTTTGACAAAGCGCGCGATGACAGGCGGCGGTCATGGATCATCTTTTCTACTTCTGCGGCGATGTACTATGTCCAAGTCATCTGTACTGAGCCTGATGCCCAAACTTGCTCCAATGCTGGTCACCAAAGCGGCGGGCGTTTCACCAGTTCGCTCCGGTATCCCTCGGATCTCCAGTGATCTGGATAACAAGCCCTGCTCTGCATTATTCAGGCGAACCTCCAATTCGCCCACTCGAGATTTGCGGGCTATATTTTCCAGGATAATTTTTTCGAAATGACTGGCTTGACTTTCGAGGTGTTTCTCAATTTTCGATAATTTTTCATTAAGCTCAAAATTGAGCTCTCCATATTTATCGAGGGTTGTTTTTATGTATTCATTGACACTCGAGTCTAAGCGATTACTGCCGCCAGTATTTCTGAGGCGGACGGCTCAGTGTTAGGTTTTTTGGTCTGGTCGCAATTAGGGCATACCCATGTTTTTTTGTGTGCTTTTAAGGCTTCAATTTCTTTTTCACTTAGATTGAGACGCCTACCGTGAAAAATAATTTTGCATTTTACACAACAAAGATTATTTTTGTCTTCGCGTGCAATAGTATTATTGCAAATATTGCACTGCACCATATTTAATTAAAATAGTACAATTAGGATATAAATAAATACCGGGAGAGAGTTGTTTTGATGAAAGCAGTAAACAGTGTTGTCTAATGCTGTGAGGATTAGTAGACGTTTACACTCCCGTAGCTTCTAGAACTCAATTGGATTCACGACACTTTCTTTAAGTAGATAAAAGTGAATATATTACACTAATCACAGTGAATACTGATACTATTAAAAGAAAAATACACTCAACCATTATGAACTGCACTGAACATTAAAAAACAAAACAAAAAAAACAGAGCTGATGATATAAGAGATTTATAGCGATGTGTACAGGTAGCTGTCTCTGGCCAGACTGATTTTACGTTATATGAAATAAATAAAACCTATTTATGTGTTCTATCTACTTTATTAATTAAATG